ATCTCCCATCTCCATGGTCTCCCATCTCCACGTGGACCACCAAACGGGGCTGAGGTGAGCATGCTACCATGAAATGCGTCTGACTCTATTATTTCCATCTCTCCTTATTCTCTATGACTTTATTATGATCTACATTTTTCTAACCGTGCAATTGCACCTATCAAACCTGCGATGAGTTGTGGGGGGCTGGCCTTTCCCCCACACTGCCTTATACTCCCATTCGGATAAAAATTCTTTTGGAATTCTCTACAGATCTTCAGATAGTGTTAACTAAATTTTGTCATTTACCACCCCCACCCCCCCAGAGAAGATCTGGGGATTCCTATAATTGACTCCTTGGGTAATTAACAAGGTCTCCTCTCACAAGCCACTTGAGGGAGCCCCCACTTACTTTACAGACACCTGCAGTAATGGCATAGCAGCCAACTGGGGTCCCTCCTCTCAATCCTTTCAAACTTGTTACACCTCTGCTCAGAAGACAGAAATATTTGCTCTCATCCTATTGTTCAAGATGTGATTCAGCATATACCATACAAGTCTGTTCTTTCCCTGAAACAGCAAAATTAAAATCAGATCCATACTGTGACATTGGTAACCTATTCCTCACCTTACAGACTCCAATAAGGTCCCACCACCTCCATCCATTCTTCATAGGGCACACAAGAGCACACACGCAGTTCCCAGGACCAATCTCTATGGGAAATGCTAATGCCGACAGGTTGACTCAAAAGGCATTCACGCTTCTTACGTCCCCAAAGGCAGAGCATCAAAATTAAACAACGTTGCTAGCCTAAGACAAAGGTATCATCTAATGTGGGTCCAACCCAGACAAATCATCAGAGAACGCACTCGGTGTCAGCAAACCTCACTTAAGGAGGGACCTGATGGAGTTAATCCATGTGGGGATCAGTCAAACCCACTCTGGCACATGGATGTCACTCACAATCCTCATTTGGATGCCTAGGAGGGGTACATGTTAAGATACATACCTCCTCCAGATTTTTATTGGCATCAGTAATGACTGGCAAATCCACAAAGCATGGCATCAGTCATTTACTGACCTGTCTTGCTGTGATGGGCACTCCAAAACATCTGAAAATGGACAGTGGCCCCACTGACACCAGCAAACTGTTTCACAGCTTCTGTGAAGCTTGGAATGTTCATCACATAACAAGTATCCCTTACAACCCTCAGGGCCAGGTCCCTGTTGAATGGACACATAGCATTCTAAAATCTCAGTGATTAAAACAGAAGGGGGAGACCAAAGGTGATTTGATATGGCAAACTTCATTTAGCTTTATTAACGCTAATTTTTTTTTCTCCCTTCCAAAAGATTCTAACATAACTAGGGCAGAGAAATACTTTTCTACCCCCAGAGAGAAAGCCAATCCAGAGAAGATCTGGTGGAAAAAATGATGGAATATGGGAGGGAAAATACTAATCTCTAGGGGCAGAGGCTATGCTTATACCGTTTCCCCCAAAATAAGACAGTGTCTTATATTAATTTTTGCTCCCAAAGATGCGCTAGGTCTTATTTTCAGGGGATGTCTTATTTTTCCATGAAGAATACGGTACACATTTATTGTTTTATTAAGAGACCTCGCACTTCCTGTCCGCTCCAGGTGTGCTGCAGCCAACAGTGAGCTGCGCGGCTTGGCACCCACCACTACGGTCCAGAGTCCAGTGTTGCTGTAGCTATGGGGGGCCTTATTTTGGAGGAAGTCTTATTTTCGGGGGGATACCTTATATTTCAGTGAGAGGCAAAACTGTAAGAAGGTCTTATTTTGGGGGGATGTCTTACTTTCAGGGAAACGTTATTTTTTTTCAGATGGTGGAGAAAGCAGATGGCTTCACCTTAAGAGGGTGCAAACACATGTCAAGAAAGGCGAGGGAGAAGAGGAAGAATTTACCTAGCCCTTTTGAACCCAATTCTGTTCCCACTAAAGAAATGGCAGCCCCATTCATAAGAAAGAGACCCCACGGTGAAGAAAAATGTGCTAGGCGGTCACCAACTACCCCACCCCCACCCCCACCGCCAGCTGGGGACAGGTGAAACTGGTGAGACACCAAGCACAGGCCACACTAGCAAATACTGGCAAATCGATGATCCTGAAAGTATGTTTCTAGCAATGATTGCAGTTATATCTGTCACCACTGAGGTATGTGCTAACCATGCTTATTGGGTTTATGTTCCCCATTCTCCCCTCCTAGAGATTGTAGACCGGACCCAAACCAGCCCGGTCATATTTGTGAATGATTCTGTATGGAACCCATGGCTTTGGAGAAGTGGGATAGCCAGGCACCTGGAGGAAGAAGGCAAGGTTTTTAATTTTACCTTAGGTGTTCAGGTGTTGCCATTGTGCATGGAGGCCAGCCCTAGATGTTTATTCATTAAGTCACATGCTTGGAATACCTGGCTGGTATCTCACAACACTGGCCAGTTTCTACATGGTGGAGGAGAAGCATGTGCAGAACATGAAAACTCCATCACCATGGCGGGAAGAGGGGACCTAGAGACCTGTCAGATCATGAACTGATGGCATTTCGAAGCCATCAGACTCCAATAGCTCAAATGCCAGGGACGATGTGGGAAGGTATTAAGAAAGGGCACTGTGGTAGGTTTAATGTGCCAACGAGGCCTCCATGGGAATATGAGGGCAGAGTGTGGTTCTCCCTGGTCAAGGGACCAATGGAAAATACCTCTTGCCACTAAACCCTTAGCAAGATATAGATGTAGTTTTACGGGTATCAGTCTGTCTGGCTAACCCTATACTTACACTCGTATTAGGGTTCTCCCACAATGAGCCAGGTTCCTCCAGAGCTAAACAACTCACCACTTTGTTATGAATGTAATTAGTAACGTCTGCATGTCCTGAAAATATATAAGCCTGTAAAAGAATATATTTGCTCTCTTTCTCTCTCTCCCTCTCAGACCTGACTTCATGGAGGAGGTGAGCACCCCCAAATTTCTTTTTTATTTATTCCCTCCAATTACATACCCATCCCTTAGGACCCGTCCAATTGTGGGCTGGCTCCCACAGTCAGGTTACTAGAAGGTGGGGCTAATCCAGATGCTAAGGACCATTCTGAGGCTATAGCAATGCACCAGGCAGCAGCCAAGGGTAATCTGAAGATGATTCAGATCCTTCTGTATTACAAGGTATCCACAAATATCCAGGACACTGAAAGCAACACTTCTTTACACTTATCCTATGATGAGCAGAGAGTGGAAGAAGTGAAACTGCTGGTGGTCCCACAAAGCAAGTATTTATATTGAGAATAAAGAAAATACACCCTTGCAAGTAGCCAAAGGTGGCTTAGACTTAATACCCAAGGGAATGGTGGAAGGTTAAGCAGCTTGGATTTATTCTTTGGGTGTTTTGTGATCCCCCACCGACCCATTCCACTCAGTATTCTGGAAACGAATGTACTGTGCACAAGACATCATCTACAAATGATGTTTTCTTGCCTTCAAAGTCTTACAAATATTGAATATTGTTCTTGCTGAGATACTTTTTACAAGCTTACATCAAATACCTGTTGGAATTGTTCTACTGTTGTATTGAACCTTAGATAGAACTTTGGCTAATCTTGAGCCAATGATTCTGTGCCTGTTGTGAGTCTTCAAGACCGACTCACGCACCCTCTATCTACCCCTGAGGCACATCACCTCCACCAATGGAAGTGAGCCAATAATTTGGCCAAATGTTTTGAAGTGGATTCAAGAATGTTGAAGCACATCCTAACCTATTTTTCAACTCACCAAGGCCTACGCCAAACTGTTGTTCTCTCCCAATGGTAAGGTTTAATTTCTTTTTGCCATAGGAGGAATTTTGATATATTTTTGTGGACAAAATTCTGAAGTGGAGGGCATCCCAGTTTTGATTTCATAAACAAGGAAAAATGAAAAAAAATGAGGAAAGATGCGAGGGCTGTATCATTTCACCTTATTCAATCTTATTCCTTATTCAATCTGTATGCTAAACATATAATCTGAGCAGTTGACCTCTATGAAGAGGAACTTCGCATCAGGACGGGAGGAGGGCTCATGAACAACCTGGGATAGGCAGACGACACAACCTTGACTGCTGAGCGTGAACAAGACTTCAAAAACTTACTGGTGAAGACCAAAGACTTCAGCCTGGATTTCTCCTCAGTCTAAACAAAACAAAAACCCTCACAACTGGATCAAGAGACATCAAGATAAACGGAGAAAAGATTTAAATTGTCAAGGACTTTCCATTTTACCCTAGCTAAGGCGGAACTAGGAGCCCTGCTGGCGTAGTAGTTCAAGTTGGGCTGCTAACTCCAGCATCAGCAGTTCGATGCGGCTTTCCACTCGTGGAAAGAGTGACAGTTTCAAAAACTCACAAGGGCAGTTCCAGCCTACAGGGCTGTTATGAATCCGCATCAACTCAATAGCAGTGAGTTTAATTTTTGTTTTTCTAAGATGGAAGTGATAAGCAGATAACAAATGTGGGTGATGGTGTAGTGAGACTTTATCCATTATGCTTTTATCCTTACCCACTGCTAGTAAAACTGTAAAATGGTACCTCCACTATGGATTATGGTATGATACATCCTCAAAAAAATTGGAAACACGAGAGTGAGGAAAAATATTGCTACAAAATCGTAAAATGTTTATTAAATAAAAGTATCAAAATGTGATTGTTTCTCAACATATCCTCCACATAGGTCTACACAATTCTGAAGGTGGTGTTTCCATCACTAACCCTTCTCTGAAGAATCTGGCACGCCTTAACTGACACCATGTCAAGATGGTAGTTTTACATTCTCAAGGAACTCAACCCGTGGTCCTTTTCAATGGTCTTTGAATTTTGGAAACAAAAAGAAGTCTGAATGCGGCAAGATTACAGCCATAGGGTGGGTGGAATAAGGTTTCCCAATGTAATTCTCATCGGACAACCATTGCTACCTTTCAGGAAACAGCAGTGAGGGGGAAAAATTCCCTGCTGCAACTTTCCTGGTCTCTTTCTTACCAATGCAGTTTTCAATTTTCCTAAAACTTCTTTATAAGCCCCTGTAATTGTCCTGTGTCTTCCAGAAAATGTATCATGAAATTTGGAATTAACCCCTTTGACATTCCTAAAAAAAAAAAAAAAAAAAGAGTCATCATAATCTTAATTTATAAATTATCAAAGGTTCATGAGGGTGAAAGGGGGAGGGAGGGAGGAAAATAAAATGAGGAGCTGATACCAAGGGCTCAAGTAGAAAGAAGATGTTTTTAAAAAGACGATGGCAACATATGTACAAATGTGCTTGACACAAGGGATGTATGGATTGTTATAAGAGCTGTAGGAGCCCTCAATAAAATGATTTAAATAAATAAACAAAACAAAAATATAAAATATAATAAGAAACACATAGAAGAAGGAATGAAATTGGGTAGAGTGGATAGAAATATATGTTTGACTTCTCTGAATGTACCTTGGTATGCAGTTTTTATTTTAGAATCATGTAAACATAGAATTTAAAAATTAAATTAAATTAAAATGGGAAAAGAGCTATCCCTAAAAGTGAAAAGCACAATGAAATAAATAAGCCTGTGTTTCAAGTTAGAGCCTTAACTGCATTATAAGTGATTGGGGGAGGGGGTCTTTGCTGTTGTTGTTAACTGCCAGTGTCATTATAACCAACTTCGGCATGTTCAAGTCCTTCTTTGTGGTTATTGTGCCAATCAATCTAAGAGATTGCCACATCCTCACAGGCACTCTATTTCCCCAAACATGATGTTCTCTTCCTGAGACAGATTCCTCTTGATGGTAAGCCCAAAGCAAGTGAGTTGGGCAATGTCCAGTTGTGCTCCATAAGGATTTCATTGGCTAATTTTCAGGTGTTGATTCTTCAAGCCTTTCTTGTTAAGCTGGGTCAGGGTAGAAGTCCCACTGAAATCTTCATTATGGGTGACCTTGCTGGTATTTAAAAATGCGGGTGACATACTTCCTGCAGCGCAGCAACCCAACAGCCACCCTACTACAATCTGGGGAGTTGTGGTAGATGATTGACAGTACAGTAAATTTTGTTTTCAAACCTTAGTGAGATATATTGTTGACCAAAAAGACCTCCAAAAGTCTTGACAATTTTCTGTATTCATAGTTAGTACAAAGAAAAAAATTCCTTTCTCTCAATCCAAAATAAGGTAGAAAAGAGGAAAAAGGGAACAAAGAGCAAACAGGATATAAAAGAAGTCTGAAAAGGTAACCCCAGCACTGTACGATGGATAAGGTGGGTTTTCCCAATGGAATGCTCACAGGACAGTCCTTGAAGACTGAGCAAGTGCATGGTCGAGATGGATAAAAATTCCCCAGAACAACTTTCCTGTACTTTCTCTTTGCAAGATAACTTTCCATTTTCTGAAATAAGCTCCTATAATAATCCTGTGTCCTTTGAGAAAATCTACCAAAATTACTTCTTTGAAATCCAAAAAAACCAGTCAACATAACTATCGGAGCTGCCTTCTCTGCCTTGAACTGAAATGGCCCAGCAAATCCTCTCAAAAATCCCTGTTCCACAACTGGACATCTTTGAGTCCTGGTAGCATAGTGATTCTCAGTTGGGCTATGATCCACAAAGCCAGCAGTTCAAAAATACCAGGTGCTCCATGGGAGAAAGACAGGGCTTTCGACTCCTGTGAAGAGTTACAGTGTCGGAAACCCACCTGAGCAGTTGTACCGAGCTGGCATTGACTAGATGGCAATGGGTTTGGTTTGGTTTGGTTTGAGGTTTTATCAAGACTAAGGTAAATGTATTACTATAAGAACTTCACTACAGCCACCCAGTGATTGAAGAGATAATGTTTAAATACACCTTGCTTGGAACAAACTTATGCACATATACACTGAAACCCTAGTAGCAATACTTTTTGATGTACACTCATGTAAAACAGAAAAATGATGGCTTTGAAGCAGATCAAACCAGTAATCCCACTAATGATCTAAATAATCAATTAAAATACAGATTATCCAATTGAATAAAAATGCAAGATCCAACTACATGTTGCCTACATGTATGAATGCACTTATAAAACAGAACACTTAAATCTATGGAGGATTCATCTATAACAGGATTAGTAATTTGGGAGGTTATAACAAGAATGGTTGGGGATGGGGAGCTAATAATCAGTACAAGGAAGAAGAAAATGTTTAAAAATTGATTGTGGTAATGATTGCATAACTTTTTAATATGTTTAAACTATTAAACACTATGATATGTGAATTATAGGTCAATAAAATAGTTAAAAGTTAGAAAGTAGACAAAAAAAGAAAGTAGAACACAAATGTTCAATATGAAAGCATTAAAAAAAATAGACGAAGCTAACAAAAATAAAGTTAAGGTGATTACATGAAAGATTAGGTAGGAACCGGAAACACCCAGGACAGATGATCCCTTCAGGACCAGTGGTAAGAGTGGCGATACCGGAGGGTGGAGGTAAGGTGGGGTAGAAAGGGGAACTAATTATAAGGATCTACATATAACCTCCTCCCTGGGAGACAGACAACAGAAAAGTGGGTGAAGGGAGACGTTGGACAGTGTAAGACATGACAAAATAATAATTTATAAATTATCAAGGGTTCATGAGGGAGGGGCAAGTGGGGAGGGAGGGGAGAAAATGAGGAACTGATGCCAAGGGCTTAAGTGGAGAACAAATATTTTGAGAAGGATGAGGGCAAAGAATGTACAAATGTGCTTGAGACAATTGATGTATGTATGGATTGTGATAAAGTTGTATGAGCCCGCAATAAAATGATTTTCTTAAAAAAAAGAAAGATTAGGTAAAGTAAATATGTCCAGAGAAAAGTCTGTAACCCCAAGAATATAAAAAAAAACCATGTCATAATAAAACAGTTCATCATGAGAGCACATAATCTAAAATATTTGCATACCTAATAACAGCACTTTAAAATGTGTGGAGCAGCAAGTTCTAAAAGTGCACAGAGAAATAAGATTAATATATAATTGTACTTGGAAGTTTCAATACCTTCCTTCAATAATCGGTAAAACAAGTAGATAGAAAATTCATCTGAGTATAGTTTTAAAAAAGACTTTCCACCTACTTGACCTAGTTGATCAATCTACCCACCAAAAGCAAAATACACATTCTTTTTTAAGTTCACAGATAAATTAGTAAGACAGCCCATATTTTGATCCATAAAACAAATCTCAACAAATTTAAAAGGATTCAAGACATACAGATACTGTGTCTGAGTATAATAAACTTATCAACAAGCAAACAATCTTTGGACGACCTCAAAAATAACATATAGAAAATGAGGAGCTGATGCCAAGGGCTTAAGTGGAGAGCAAATGTTTTGAGGAAACACAGGGAGAAATGTGCTTTACACGACTGATGTATGTATGGATTGTGATAAGAGTTGTATGAGCCCCTAATAAAATTATTAAAAAATAATAATAATAACATATAGCTAATTAGCACCACTCCAAACCAAAAACAAAAGACAAGTTAGAAAGGATTTTGAACTGAAAGCAGAATACGTGAAATGTGATTGGCAAATAGTATCTTTTGAAGCTGAGTGTATAAGCATTTATTATACTTTTGTTTATACTTAATGTTTTATTTACAAATTTAAAAACAAAATGCTGTCATGTCACAAGCATGCTAGAATTCTTTAAAAGAACAAAAATTGTTATTGTGAATTAGGTTTACAGAAAAGATCATCAGTCTTACAGATAACAATTCATACACATGTTTTTCAATTCATTCATTGCAATGTCCTGAATGTACCATCACTTATTCAGCTTTCTCCCTGTGTTTCCTCTTTTCATTCCACCTTATTTCCTAACCCTCTCAACTTTTTATTTGGTCTATGTTACCCTTTTGATTTTAAACGTTTGATAGTCCTACCACCGTGATGAGTTCAGTTCTAGCCGTGAAGACTGACCCAGGCCTACAGTCTTGAGGAGTGTCTCTGGATAATTCCTTTTTAAATAGTCAACCACAAATTCCTTCTTCTTCCAGTCAGCAGCTATTTGAAAGGGTGTGCCACAAGTACCTGCACATTTTTCTTGGTACTGGCCTCCAAAAATTCCCCTTGCTTCTGCATCATTGAAGAAAGCTTAGGTGGAAATTTTCAAAAGCAAAATGAAGATCCCTCTGCATGGAAAAGGCATTGAAAGGAACAAGTAAGAAATGCCTACTCACATTAGTCCCTTGTTTTGAATGTGAAAAGCCATTCTGTCCTCTTCTGGCCTCTACACTCAGAGAAAGATAATAGAGGATGTTGGGATTCTATTGGCACACTGGTAATCCATGGGCTCCTCGTCTGCAGATGTAAATGATTGGGAAGAGGGAACAATAAAGTGGTCAAACAACTGGACATACCTTGCAGAGGGGTAGTGGGGAGATGAGTCACTTAGGGCACAGTATAGCAACAATGAAGCTCACAATCTTCCTCTAGTTCTTAAACGCTTCCTCCCCCCAACTACCAGGACCCCAGTTTCGCCTTGCAGACCTGGTTA